CGGCCCTAGAGTGCAGCCGTATGATAGCTGACGGCGCCAGGCGCAGCAATGATGGGAGTGGGTTGGGTGGGGGAGAAATATGATCAAGGATCAAGGTCAAGGTCAAGTCAAAATAAAAGCCGCAGTGACCTGTTTGGATTCGACACACATTCTCCCCAAGATGTGTAAGTATAGCAAGTTTGTAGCGCTAGGTCAATTAGGGACCGAGTTATAGAGCAAAAGGGAAATGTGATCAAGGTAAAAGGTTAAATAAAAGTCATAGTTTGGTACGCGACACCTTCTCCCAAGATGTGTAAGTATACCAGTTTGGTAGCGCTAGGTCAATTAGGGCCCGAGTTATAGAGCAGAAGGGAAATATGATCAAGATCAAGGTAAAGGTCAAATAAAGGGTCGCAGTGACCTGGTTTTGGTACACTGCGCCACCTTCTCCCAAGATGTGTAAGTATACAAGTTTGATAGCGCTAGAGTCAATTAGGGGCCGAGTTATAGAGCGGAAGGGAAATAGATCAAGGTCAAGGTAAAGTTCAAATAAAGGTCGCAGTGACCTGGTTTTGGTACGCTGCTCACTTCTCCCCAAGATGTGTAAGTATACCAAGTTGTAGCGTAGTCAATTAGGGGCCGAGTTAAAGAGCGGAAGGGAAATATGATCAAGGTCAAGGTAAAGGTCAAATAAAGGTAGCCGTGACCTGGTTTTGGTACGCTGCTCACCTTCTCCCCAAGATGTGTAAGTATACCAAGTTAGGTAGCGCTAGGTCAATTAGGGGTCGAGTTATAGAGCGGAAGGGAAATTGTCTGCGGCGGCAGCTAGGGAGACATGAAACCATAGTATCCCCGCCGACTTCGTCGCGGGGATACAATAATGTAACCCAACAAGAGTAGGGTTATAATGCGAGCCTATTCTTTTCTTTGGAGGAGCCCCTGAGTGATTCACTTAGGGCGGTTTTATGGTGCGTTTTTCGAGACTACAACTTCCAAACTGGGTTTATTTTAAACACGAACCTTTCTCCGCTATCCTGGGACTTACTATGTATCACAATACTCTGTAATAAACTATTATAACCTGTTACAAAATTTCGAAGTGACGAGCAGTGATATTTCGAGCGCCATAATGCATTTCTGTTGACCTGTGATGTACAGATTTCCAATGCGCATAGCGTTCTGCTAACTTCGTCATGACGTCATGACTGACAGCAGGCATCCCATGACCCCATGATACATTCGATCTTGGAGTCGAAGTTAGCCGAACGCTATGCGCATTGGGAATCTGTACGTCACAGGTCAACAGAAATGGCGCTCGAAATATCACCGCTCGTCACTTCGAAATTTTGTAACAGGTTATAATAGTTTAATACAGAGTATTGTGATACATATTAAGTCTGAGGATAGCGGAGAAAGGTTCGTGTTTAGAATAAACCCAGTTTGGAAGTTGTAATCTCGAAAAACGCACCATAAAACCGCCCTGAGTGAGTCACTCAGGGGCTCCTCCAAAGAAAAGAATAGGCTCGCGTTGTAGCCCTACTCTTGTTGGGGCTCATAGGGTCTATGTACCCCAGGGTACTGCCGGAACGTACCCTGGTAACTATCTGATATGGTTAGGGTTAGGGTAGCTCTAGAACTATAGCCCTCCGCTCCGCCGCAGGGCTATAGAACATACTATGGCAATTTCCAGGTAGTAAGGCCAAACAAAAAAATACCTTTGGTTCGGGTCACATGGATTGTGAAAATTAGGGTAGGTAGGTAGGTATAACATTTTTTTTTTTTAACTTTTTTTCTGTAAAAACATGGGTAGGCAGGAATATAACTTTTTTTTTTCACAAGTTAAATATATACAGCTTGAAATGCAGGAGCCACGAGATGCAAATGACTTGCAGTTGCATGTACCATTGCTGCAAGTCATGACATTGTTTTCAAAATGTGAACGCCAGTTGTGTACTGGTGTCGTGTACTGGTATTCGTGTGGTGTACGGGATAGTAGTGTTAGGAATCGCTCCAAAAAAGGAGCTCGATTAATCGTCCCTTTGAACGAGCGAGTAACCGAAGTGTAAACGGCTCTGCGGCCGCGTATAGCAAGATAGCATGCGTATACTATATAGTACGCGATCGATCGCGTACATCAAAGCTGGCCGCCGCGCCATACGACCTTCAGGCTCTGTTTATGAAGTAGCCGGCCCAGGCTCTATACGACTATTTCACGTTGTAGGATTCTAGGAAACGTAGGTAGGAACTGTTTCACTTCTCGCCAACGAAGTTCTGTTTATAAATATTTTGGAAATCTCCATAGGTAAATAAAATGACAAGAGTCAGATATTTGAATATGTATGATCGGCAGGCGGTATCTTTAAATTTGATTTTTTCTTGAAACCCTCTAAAAGTGACCGCAGTCGCACATTTTATCACTCCGAAATGTGAAGTCGGGCGGGTGGCCCGAACCAAAGGTAATTTGTAGGTCGGCCTAAGCAAAGACAACTTTTTGCGGTTCTTCGGTACGCCAAATAAAGCACATCCTCTGCTGCACAAATATCTTAAATGGTACTACAAACACTAAAATTAAACCGCAAACTAACGGTTAAATGTTGTACTTGCTCTTGTATTACATCATCGAGTGTATCTCCATGGTTCACAACCTGTCCTGATAAAGTGGGGACACTGTAAATATTCATATATTTCACAATTATACTGTGTTAGTTGACTTCAGTACCTCCATAGATCTTTATGAGTGCTCCAACGCCGACAGGTGAGCGAATGTATATGTGACGCGCTACAGAAGCACACCGTGTGTAGTACCAGTCTTGGTCATATGGGGCAAGCTCCTTGTAGTTAGCAGTCTTAACCAGATCAACCCACTCTGGCACTTTCAGTTTTCCAGACCTGAGTAAATTAGCACTGGCTTGTATTAAAACTAACAATTACCATCAATGAGATATTGCATACTCTCACACAATTCTGACACAACTGTGTACAAATAGGTAAGCTGCTACAAGCACATTTTTCCCAGATTTTGCTGTCCTGTACAGCTTAGTATTTAGTATATAAGGTGCCCACAGACATACTATATTATTTTTACATTTAAATTTAACAACATGTTTAATCATCTCCTTACTTCTTCAGGAAGGCAGAAAAAGCTTTGACGAACTCATGCTGACTAACATCTTTTACACTGACACCTGGCATCTGAAATAAGAACAAACATTATTTAACCAACTAATTACTACTATACATAAACCTATAGGCTATAATGCTACAGTGGGGCAGAAGACACACGTCCAATACTAGATACAACTAGAAAGGGCAGGTGTCGCCAACTACATGTATCCCCGTGTTCTCCCCAAGATGTGTAAGTATGCGAAGTTTGGTCGCGCTAGGTCAATTAAGGGCCGAGTTATAGAGCGGAAGAGAAGTCAAAGTCAAGGTCAATGTCAAATAAAGGTTGCAGTGACCTGGTTTCGGTATGCGACACACCTTCTCCCCAAGATGTGTAAGTATACCAAGTTTGGTCGCGCTAGGTCAATTAGGGGCAGAGTTATAGAGCAGAAGAGAAATATGATCAAGGTCAAGGTCAAATAAAAGCCGCAGTGACCTGGTTTTGGTATTCGACACACATTCTCCCCAAGATGTGTAAGTATAGCAAGTTTGGTAGCGCTAGGTCAATTAGGGACCGAGTTATAGAGCAAAAGGGAAATATGATCAAGGTAAAGGTAAAGATTAAATAAAGGTCATAGTTTTGGTACGCGACACACCTTCTCCCCAAGATGTGTAAGTATACCAAGTTTGGTAGCGCTAGGTCAATTAGGGGCCCGAGTTATAGAGCAGAAGGGAAATGTGATCAAGATCAAGGTAAAGGTCAAATAAAGGTCGCAGTGATCTGGTTTTGGTACACTGCGCACCTTCTCCCCAAGATGTGTAAGCATACCATGTTTGGTAGCGCTAGGTCAATTAGGGGCCGAGTCATAGAGCGGAAGGAAAATATGATCAAGGTCAAGGTAAATGTTAAATAAAGGTCGTAGTGACCTGGTTTTGGTACGCGACACACCTTCTCCCCAAGATGTGTAAGTAAACCAAGTTTGATAGCGCTAGGTCAATTAGGGGCCGAGTTACACAGTGGAAGGGAAATATGATCAAGGTCAAGGTAAAGTTCAAATAAAAGTCATAGTGACCTGGTTTTGGTAGCGCTAGATCAATTAGGGACCCGAGTTATAGAGCAGAAGGGAAATATGATCAAGATCAAGGTAAAGGTCAAATAAAGGTCGCAGTGACCTGGTTTTGGTACGCTGCGCACCTTCTCCCCAAGATGTGTAAGCATACCAAGTTTGGTAGCGCTAGGTCAATTAGGGGCCGAGTTAGAGAGCGGAAGGGAAATATGATCTAGGTCAAATAAAGGTCGCAGTGACCTGGTTTTGGTACGCTGCGCACCTTCTCCCCAAGATGTGTAAGCATACCAAGTTTGGTAGCGCTAGGTCAATTAGGGGCCGAGTTAGAGAGCAGAAGGGAAATGTGATCGAGGTCAAGGTAAAGGTCAAATAAAGGTCGCAGTGACCTGGTTTTGGTACGCTGCGCACCTTCTCCCCAAGATGTGTAAGCATACCAAGTTTAGTAGCGCTAGGTCAATTAGGGGCCGAGTTAGAGAGCGGAAGGGAAATATGATCAAATAAAGGGTAATGATCAAATAAAGGTCGCAGTGACCTGGTTTTGGTACGCTGCGCACCTTCTCCCCAAGATGTGTAAGTATACCAAGTTTGGTAGCGCTAGGTCAATTAGGGGCCGAGTTAGAGAGCGGAAGGGAAATATGATCAAATAAAGGGTAATGATCAAATAAAGGTCGCAGTGACCAGGGGCCCGTTGCC